CGTCCTGACGTTAGATGCCTCCCCTTGTGCCGTCCCTCCAGAAGAACGGATTACAGAGGAACAAATTTGCTCAGCGCTGAAATACAGTAAGAACATGAAGGCTCCCGGGTTTGACGGAATATTCAACCTAGCGTTGAAAAATCTCAGCCCGAGGGTGCACTCGCTGCTAGCTGCCACCTTCAACAGATGCTTGGAGCTGCACTACTTTCCAAGCATCTGGAAGGTGGCAAAAATCATCCCGATCCGCAAACCTGGGAAAGACCCTTCACTACCGTCAAGCTACAGACCGATTAGCCTGCTCTCAGCGCTGAGCAAGCTGTTCGAAAAATTGATCCTCAGCCGACTAAACAAGTTTGTGGAGGAACATGACATTCTTCTTCCGGAACAGTTCGGGTTCCGTAAGGGGCATTCCACCAATCATCAACTAGTGCGGGTGATGAATAACATCCGGAGTAACAAAGCTGTATCCAAGTCCACAGCCATGGCCTTGTTAGACGTCGAAAAGGCGTTTGACAATGTCTGGCACGACGGACTTATATACAAGCTTTGTAACTCCAACTTTCCACCATACCTTGTGAAAATCACCCGTAACTATCGCCAGCAAAGGTCGTTCAGGGTGTCGTTGAATAGTTCCCTTTCGGGACAATTTCCGATCCCAGCAGGTGTTCCGCAAGGGAGTCTGCTGGGACCACTGCTTTACACCATCTACACGTCGGACATCCCTCCTCTAGGAGACGGTTGCGTGTTCTTTCTGTTTGCAGATGACACCGCGATAGCTGTCAAGGGTAGGATGCCTCGTGAAATTACGAACAAGCTCCAACGATGCCTTGACACCTTTACTGATTATGCCACCACGTGGAAAATCAAAATCAACGCCTCGAAAACCCAAGCGATCATGTTCCTTCACAGACAATCATTAAAACTTAAACCGTCTCCCTCCTGTACCGTAATGATGGATGGTACAAGGGTCGAGTGGTCCACTGATGTTACTTATCTCGGGATGTTGTTCGATGAGAAGCTCCTGTTCCGCTCGCACATAGAGAAAACCCTAGTTAAGTGCTCCGCCTTGGTTAGGTGTTTGTATCCGCTCATTTGCCGCAGATCCCGCCTCTCAAGGCAAAACAAACTGGCTGTTTACAAACAGATCATAGCCCCCGCGATCTTCTATGCCGCCCCGGTGTGGGAATCGTGCGCTCAGACCCACAGGAACAAAATCCAGGTTGCACAGAATAGAGTGTTGAGGATGATCCTAGATCGTCCATTCGACACAAGAATAGCAGACCTCCATCAAGAGGCAGAAATTCCCAAAGTAGATTCCAAAATTGATGATATGACAACTAAATTTATTCAAAAATGCAATCTTTCTGAACATGCTTTAATAAGCAATTTGTACATAGTAGGTTAAGTGTATATAGTAGAGTAGGTTTTAAGCTGTAAATAGTAGTATTAAGTAGTTTCTCTTCAAATTCTAAAAACAAAACAAACCAATCCCACCAAGGTGGTCGACCGTGTACTAAGTCTAGGACTAATTCTGTAAAACAAATTTTGAATTTTGCCCATACCTAAAGATGAAGAAAGCAATTAAATCACTTAGTAAAAAATTTATATGGTAATCGTCCAAGTTAAACTAAAATAAAGATCATTTAAACTAAAAAAAAAAACTAAAAGAGCGCTGCTGTATGGCATTAGCTCATTTTCGCTTCGGACGGCGTGGTGAACAGCAATAGCAGCAGTACGAAGGTGGTGGCTAGTCCACTCCTTCACACCTAACAAGCAACAGTTGACTGGTAGTGGAAAAGGTCTGGTAAAGGCGGCGCCAAGCGTCGTCGCAAAGTTCTTCGAGATAACCGCCATCGGTCGTCTGGATCTCCGTGGTGGTGTCAAACGTATCTCCGTCTGATCTACGAGGTGTGCTAAAGGTGTTCCTGGAAAATGAGGTCCGTGATGCTGTCACCTACACTAAGCACGCCAAGCGTAGGTGGCCATGGATATCCTCTGCAATAAAACGGCCCTTTTCAGGGCCATCAAGCTTACATCAGTAAAGAGTTGGAATAGAATTTATCTGTGCTTGTTTGTCCATATTCAGCACCACAAGCCCCCAACGACCACACAAAATGCTCTCCAGAGTTGTAATCTTGTAACCAAACTTGGAAGCAGGGATGCAAGTGATTTTGATTGATTCTCTTAATCAACTTTCTCTTTAAAAAAATTACTACAAATTTGGTACGCCTACAATTCAAAAACTGAAAGAGTTGAGATAATAGATAATTGATCAATTAAAAGAACTAAATGCTCTTCACATTTATTCCGTCCACTAGACGTCAAGCTTCCGTTCGTACCCCTAGGTACAGACCCTTCTACTCTTTATTTGTACATTTTCATCAGTTTTTTTTTATGGAAAATTGGTAAAGCATTCTGAGAGTTATTTCCTATCAATTGATGTATTCGGATTTTCATTTCATCTATAAATGACAAAGTTATAAGCGGTCAAACCCGTACGGTCGTAATTTTAGGTTTTCGATTTACCCCCTGTACCTTCTCGTAAGACGTAGTCCTACGTCAAAAAATTAACTCCACATTCTATAACATTTAGTACTGTACTATAATTTTTAAGTCCAGAATTTAAAAAAATTGATCAAATTTAAAATTTGTGGAAAATAAGCATATTCCAGAACTAAAAAAACCTTTCAATCCTCTGAATTTTGTATTAAATGTATTATTTTCCGAAAATTAATCCACTCTGGATGTATAAAGTTCGATGTATGGCTGAAACTAGCTAGAAAAAATATTAAATATTTGTTTTTTAAAATCGATTATTTTCTTTAAAATATCTTTAGTAATCAAATTATTAATTTCCCTGAGTATTGATGAGATTCCATGAGAATTCCTGGTATTTCCAGGAAAAATATGTTCCCTGAGGATTCCTGGTTTTCTAGTTTTTTTTTTCTTCAGATATTAAACATCCGGGGGTTTGGTTATACACTTTCTATTGAATCTTTAGCTTTATAGGTTCATTGTGTACATAAGTATTTATGAGATATTAAGTGAATTGGTGTAAAACGCCAAACATTTCCCAAGTAACAATTTTAGTTTTATGAGGGTTCTGTAGACCATGATTTAGATTTGTAGAATGCTATACAACTTTGCAATGGAATGACGGTGACAGATTCATTTTGGTTATTGTAGATTGGGTCTCTGTAGGAAAATGGTATGTCCTTGTTTAAAGTCCCAGACCTATCAGTACAACAAAAAAAAAACCTATGGTGATATAAAATAGCCTACTGGAATTATTTTGAATGCTTAAGCGAACATTCCTTGCTTCCTATGTGTAAAAATAAAACATTGCAGCTGGATCTCAAATCGAATAGTACAGTGTGGGCTCGATTTTGGTAACACATCTCCAAAGTGTTTAATTTGCTTGTGCTCTGCACTGAAAAACCTTAATCTCGTTTTGTTTTTTTTTTAGACCTTCTAGATGATGACGATTTTGAACGTGATTAAAATTTATGGAAACTATAAAGATAAAATGTGTGTTGCCCGAAACCTTATTTTATATTAAACTAGAATATAGAAGTTTTGCACTACCAAATCAGCTGTAATTTATAAAAGTCTCTATCACTGACCTTTGATGAAAAACTTAACTGAACATGAAAACATCGAATAATGCAGCATCCAAAATTTCCACACCTTACAATTAAGATGTTCCCCAGCGATGTGACATGAGAAAGTTTATACATCCTTTATTCTGTTCCTGACTGGATCAATTTGTTATCCAATTTGCACCTCCCAAGCCCAAGTGATCAAACTCCGCGTGTGAAATAAATGAAAACCGCAAAACAAGGTTCATGATCAATCAATCCACCGCGTCGTCGTCGTCGTCGTTGGTAGGTAATTGATCTTCCTTTGTGGTGCCAACAGCGTCGTGAATGTGCCACCGCCACCTTCCAGCATTATTACTGCAGTGAACAGTAGCAAAAATGGACACTTTAGCCAACAGTCAATGGCCATTGACTGTGCGGTGCCATTGAAATTCAAGTTTTCAACTGGACTGGTACTCGAAAAGAGCGTTGCGTAGGTACTCCTACGCACCTCTTTTTTCCCTCTAAACAGATTCCTGACATTTGTAAAGGAAAAAAGCAATTTCATGGTCCAGCTTGAATTACGCACGAGTGCCCCACCGCTGGATGGCGACCTTGATGCGTGGTTGGGATGACCTTGATTGTGAATAATGAAGCTTTTTTTTCAGATGCTGTTTTTCATGATGAGAAATGCGGAATACAGATTTTCTACTAAATGTGTCGGTCAATGAATGCCTAGTGCATTGGGGTTATTTTTGGCCTGAAAACGGTGTGTAAATGTTTCCTAATACATTACAAGTTAAAACTACACATTACAAAAAAATCATTGATTGCATGTCGAGGAAAATTCATTATTTCTAAGTGTGTAATATTAGTGTACGTTCTATGAGTTGATCTTTTATGCGTCAATATCGACTTGATCCATTGATTTTTCGGAAATTGGCTTTGAAAAATCCCAAAAATATCATCGCAAGTCGGTCCCCACTTGCGTTTGTGGCAAACCCATATATTCATGATACTGGATAAACTCAACAACTTTGTTCTGGAAAAGTTTGGAAAAACCATCACCAAAGAAGCAATGGTACTAAGAAAACATGCACATGCTTTTTTTTCGTTAGCTGATTTGTGCTATGGGACGGACTTTCCCATGAGCGACAGTTTATGTGTCTGTAGACCCTGCTTATAATGTTTCAGTTTTACTTTAGAAAATTTGAATCAGATTAAGGCATTGGCATCGCATGTTATAAACTCTAACTCCTAACGGTACAAACCGTCATCTTACCCGACTCCCATACGGCAATTAATAATTTGTAGGTTGCATGTGACACACCCGAATCGACTGACTGACTGTTTCCTCCATCATCACAAAATGCGCAACTTGTGTTTAACAAAAGCTTGTTTTTTTTCTATTTCTTCTACCAGAACACAACATCCACCACCAACAGCATCCTACACAGTAATTCTCTGCACCAGAGCCCTCAGCAGCTTACGCCATCAGCCGCAATGTCATCTTCAGCTGCATCCACGCTGCTAAATGGGCATGCGACGACTAGCTTTGGCAGCAGCAGACTATTCAACGGCCATCACGACGTGGGAGGACTTCGAAGCGACAGCTATAATGGCCACAACCACCGCCAACCGTTGGATTGGTTCGATAAATTTAAAGATATCAGCGTGAAGGAGGAACCGGCCGACGCAGACAGGTGAGAATATTTATTTGTTTCTTTTTTTTTCGTAGCCGTATAGGGTAAGTGAGCCAGTTTTTGGCATTAATTTTCAATATTTTTCATTCTTTACCAAATATATGTCCAGGTTAGAACACACATTTGGTCATATGTCTACGCGAATGAAACGGTGAAAATTTATTTCAAATTTGAGTTAGGTCCTAGGGCCAAAAACTGAAGCACTAATGCCATAACTGGCTCAATTACCCTAGATGTGTCTGATTTCTCAATCTCAATGTTGGTACACAAATTACTCTTCATTATCAATGATTGCTTTGACCTTGTTGGTTTGTTTTGTTCTTTAAATTGCAAATTTTACGAGACTTTTTATAACAAGTGAAAGAGTTTTCTCAATTGCTTCTATATTCGAAGTATTGATACGGAATTATATCCCTACATATTTAACGCCATTGTGATGTGACAGTTAATCGTTATGCTTTTTCTATCTGTATACCTCGCAGTTCTGTTTGCTATTCAATTGTCTACCTTTTTATCACGAAACCTCTTATACCACTTTACAGCTTCGCAGACTAAACATGGCATAAATGTAACCAGTTTTCATAATTTATTTAGGTTCATATTTATTGATGTTTTGTTCTTCGACATTGCGAAGAGTAACTTTTCTTTAAACCTCTTGAGACATGACACGAAAAAAATATAAATATTATATTTTCAGAATATCGTGGAATACTACTTAAACTTACCGAAAAATTCTTTAAAGTTTATTTGGAGTTCCCTTGAAACTCTCCTAAACGTTACCTTGGAATACTTCATAAATTCCTTTGTATCTTGTATGTGAATTAAACTCCTATGAAAATTTGAAATTCTTCCCAAAATTTTCTTTCCACTCAAAACGCTGCTCAGAAATCCTTTGGAATTCTACACAGAAATCGTGTGGATTTCTCTTTTGAATTTTATTTGAGTTAAGAGTAAAGAGTTTTTTTACTATCCTCTAATTTTATTTTATTTTTATTTATTCTCATAACATGATTCCTTAGATATTTTTCTCGGAATACCCTCGATGATATTTTCTGAACCTTCCTTAGATTTTCTTAGAAATTATCCTTAAAAAGCGTTTTAAATTTTGCTTATCATTCTTTTTGAACACTCATTTGATTTCACTTGGATGTGTCCTTAAAATTCACCAGCTATTCTCCTCAAGATTTTCTTAAAATTCTCCTTAGAAACATCTAGGTATTCAATGTAAAACTTTCTTTCTTCTCCACAAATAATCCCTTGGTATTCATCCCAGCATTTATTTGGAAAAAAACACTCTCCCCAGGTATTCCAGGTAGAATTCTATTGGTTAATATCATCCAATTTTTAAAACGGTAAAAGTTCTTCCAAGTCACAAAGGCTTGATAACTTTTGAGGGCAATATCTCGGACACTGGAAATTTTTCATAATCTTATATTTTGAGTATTTTTCTCAGTCTCAGATTGACGACACAATTTACAATACTGATATTTTTTGTAAATCTAGGATCACGAAGATTTTTATGTGGCACAAATCTTGAAGATTTCTATTAGTAACAGCGTGCTTACATATTGTCAATTTTCCCTAGATCTAATTATTTCATTAATCAGGTTCATGATTTCTAAAACAATTTCTTTATTTAATTTCTTAATAATCCCTCACTGTTCATGGTTTGGTTTAATTGCCCATTCATTCTGATAGCGTTCGGCCTATTACCATAAACAATGGCTCAGCGAATTCTGGAGCATTGAGGTTCCATCACCGAACTTTCTCGGTGCATAAAAAGTTGATTTTTTTTTCTAAGAATTTCGAAAATAACATTTAGGGACCGTATTTTCTCACCAAAACACTTCGCTGAATATTTCTAAACGATTTCTTAGTATTTCAACTTTAATCTGATTACATTTATACGACTGAGCAAACCTGTTATGTCAGATTTTTCTTTAAATGAAATATATGCACTAAAAACTGCGGCTGATTTCAAATTGCCACGCATTTCAAATGGAAAGGTTGCCGAAGTAAAGGAGATTTCCGACAATAATCACACTCGCCTGAAAAGTTTGACGCGTTGTAAAAACGATTTCAAACAGTTTTGGACAATTCTGACAATCGGAATGGGCTGAGCTGTAAGCAACAAATAAATGTAAATAAACAAACACCGCATATGTAAATATACCGGAAAGAGTTGGAGACCGAATATAAAGGATGATGAATATGACTTCTGTTTGTTTATTAATTTATTTGATAAGGCTCAAACGAATTAACTTTACAGAGCCGAGGATTTTTGGTCACTATACAATACACCTTAAAACTATAGTCAAAAGATACAACACAATAAACACTTTATCTTCCGCTATCCAAAAAGCCTCCTCCATCAGAACTGGAGCCTCTTGCAGTGGTTTAATTGAATGGTAGTTACGCCAACGGGGGTGCTGCAATGGACGCAAAACGTGGTCATCACACACTCATCACTAAACGGTTGCTTTCCAAAGTCGACGACGCATCGACCGAAAGAACTGCTGATGAAGAACAATGAGGAAGACCACACAACGGTTGCTGCCGAGAAAACAGACGATCGCATGGCACACATCGAGAGTGGCCTGTTTTTGACGACAGCCGAGTGAACACTGAATATGACTTCTGTAGTTTGTTTTTTTGTGAGTTGCAGCATAATTTGAATTAATGGTATTAATGGGGTCTGCCCTTTTTCTCTCGAGCCCACGCTACAACCTACATTTCGGATTTAAATCTATACGTGGACCAAGAAGTGAACTGCTGGTCGGAGTTCCTCAGATATATTCAAATATACAGTCAAACAGCTCGTAATGTTGTGAACAACTTCAATGACAGTTGTCCAGCAGTGCTCCTATTTTATTTAAAGCAATCCGGTGCCTGCGAGATTGTGCCCAAGCTGTGCCGAATCTTATTTAGGCACAATTTACTGAGTGATTTCTGTCCGCTGCACCGCTTTACAGACCAATAGCAATTCCGTTTTGTGGCAACTATCTGCAGCTTCGATTGCCAATATGTCCACGTCTTCCAGCGTCTCGCCTGTTACCATCAAGACGACGTCGTTCGCAAAGCCAATGATCTCAACTCCTTTGAGCGGCTTCAGTGTTAGCACACCGTTGTACATCCCGTTACAAAGCGTTGGACCAAGGATGGAGCCTTGTGGAACTCCCGTTGTGATCCTAATCGATCTCTGTCCCATGTCTGTCTTGTAGACCAGAACCCGGTTTCCGGAAGTAACTTCTCAGGATCCTGTGCAGGTAGTCAGGAACCCTCATTCTAAGTATGCAGCTCTTCGGCGATGGCCTGCTGGCGCTGTTGAACGCATTCTTGACGTCGCACAGTGGGACGCATTCAGAAAAAGTAGGACATGGCTATTTGCGACGAAACTATTGAGTAAAGCTTTTTGTTGTCTTCTAGAATGTTTCTTTATTTTTTAAGTACTTTATTTAAGTAGTGAAAATTTTTGGTTAAGGAGGGTATACACTCAGATAAAAAAATAACTTCTTTATGTCTTGACAAATTTGATGAACACCTATGGAAACATTGAAGATGAAGTCTTTTTAAGAAACTTTGTCTAAGGTTTAAACTTTCTATCCCTCAAGTGGACGAAGTAATAGGGCGAAAATGGACTACGAACGGTAGTACCACCTTAAAAAACGGTTTTTCGCTATAACTTTTTTCTTTGAATTTTCTCGTTTTTTAAATATTCTACAAAGTTGTAAGTGCTTAAAAAATGCACATTTTCGCACAAGACAGTAAATCGTTATCTCTTTGTTGAAAGGATTTACGCCAGTTTTTACAAATTTTTTACACTATCTTTAAGGGGGTTGTACTTTGCAGGTTAGCAAGTATTAGCAGCTAATGACAACGTCATTTCATTCAGCAACTCATACCCTACTGTTTCATATACAATTCATAGGGGAATCCAAGGGGATGCTTAATAAATTTTCAAAACATGTACCTCAATGTTTTGCTACGTTTTGCTGTTTTCATGAAGATTTTCCTGTCTGAGATCAGTAACCCGTCTTCTGTTGCTGCGAACAAGAGTTTTCCGAGTGAATCCAGCAGGCAAATAGGCCTATACGATGTGGGATCCCCCGATGGTTTTCCTGTTTTCGGCACCAACACTAGCGTCTGTATTTTCCCCCTGTCAGGGAAGTGAGCTTAAATAGTCCAGGCATTTCTGCAGCACCATCCTGTATATTTCCGGGGACCCTGGATCACCACTTTCATCGTGTTAGAGATTCCATCCGAACCGGCAGCTTTCTTCACCTCCCTCTCCGCACGGTGTAGGTGGCCAGGTCGTTGGGTCGTGCTTCGGGAAAAGTCCGACCACGATGACTGCCAGCTTATCTGTGCCCATTTCAGGAGGCATCGTTGGATACCTGATCTTCGCCATCACGACTCGGTATGCGTCGCCTCAGGGGTTGGCATCAGCCTTAAAACCTTAAAACAGTATGGCTTGCTCTGCTTTATCTTTCGTTTAGGTGCGGCCTTGGCCACTCGGAACACTCCTCTACACACTTAGATTTTTTTACAGGAGTCAGTATGTTTTACTGGGTTTTTGAATTACTGAAAAACTCGGATAAAATTCAAATGACCGTTATTCGTAAAACATCGATAAAATCGACAAATTTTATTTTTTATCGTTAAACGGGGTTAACAGAAGTAAGTCTGTAAATTTTCGTAACACATTTTCTCAACTTTGAATTTTTCACAGATTTTTTTAAATTTTACCGAACAGTTCCGCAATTCAAAAACTCGATAAAAATTACTGACTGGATAAGTGTGTACGTTTCTCTCTGTCTGCTTCTGTTCTTGCTCTCTGAACACGTCTTCTGGCTCGGAGACAATTAGGGCGGCGGATGCTAAGTATTTCGCCTGTAATTCGGCTCCAGTTTCTTCGGCATGCTTGTGTCCAAGGAATCAAAAATATTTCCAAATGACAAAATGACAAGCGATCAACGATAACGCTATGTCAGAAATAGGAT